GATGATCTGTCAAGAAACACTTCCTGCCACTTCTGCTTTATTCATAGCTGGAATCTATCTTGCTGCACTTAGCTTACTTTCATGTTAAATTTGAAACTGAAATATAAAGAGGGTCATTTTTTTATCTCTAAAAGAACAGAACCCTTAAAGACAGAGACCAGCTTAAGAGTTTTTTTCAGAAGGACTTCTTTGAGTCAGTCAGTGTTCACCTGGTGATCACTTGAAGTTTGGAGGATCATTTATAGAAGGAGAATACTTTGGTTTTTTTAAAGGTAATAGCTGTCACTGGCAACTTGTCTTTTGCAACAGATCTTGGTGGTGTGAAGAAAGTTCTTCACACACCACCAAGAGCTCTTTGGTTTGAAGTTATTGTGATAGTGAGTGTTAATTTCAGCTGGGGTAAGATAGCACTGATGTGTTCTTGCTCTCCAGCCAGGAGTGTACTGGCTTCTTTCCTGGTGGGAATGTGACTATTTAGGCCACTGCTTATGAGTTGACTGGGGAGTGGAGACCTGAGCTATTTTGTTAAAACCCGTCATGTAGCCATTATTATGAATTCATTGTAAAAATGAAAAAACTGAAATCATTGTAGAAAGTGTCATGGTACATAATGAAGACTGTGCTGGCAGGTAGACAGAGGAGGGTTCACCTGGGACTGAAGTGAATCTTTGGAACAGGGGAATGGAAGGACTCCTACCCTAGGACACTTCTGAGCTAACCTGATCTCAAGATAAATTGTGAAACTGTGCTCTGAAGTTTTGAATGCATTTGACTTATACTTTGAACTCTGTTTTAAAATGTGATGGTTGTGTTCTCAAAAGGAACTGAATAGCTGAGGTCTCTTAAAGCAAGATTTTGAATTAGTTCTCTGTACAGCAAGGTTTACAACAAAGATATAATACAACCCTTTTAGTGTCTGCTTAGAGAATATTGGAAAATACCAAACATCAGTGGTGTGAGAAAGATGACAAAAGAGTGAAATTGTCTTATTCTAACAGTATTTTTGGCTGAGGGTGTTTCCATTACCAAGCTTGCATTTTAATTTGATTGTAAACTATTGTATGAATTGCAAGGTGTTTTGTAAGGAATTGAGAGAATTACTATTTCTTGCAAACTTTTCAAAGATAAATATCACTTTTGTCTAGTTTTTACTCTTTCACCCATTCACAAGCCAGGCTTCATATGCCTGTTTATGTAAATTTAGTATAATAACCAAAAAAAATCCCTCTTCTGAACTTATGATATGCTTACTCTAATCTTTCTGGTAATTCAAATTCTCATTATTTCAGTCCATATGCTCTTCTTTCCTCCAGTGCTCTGGGAACAGAGAGATCTAGAAAATCAAATTAACTCCAAGGTCAAAAAATCCATGATCTGAGCTGAAGGGCTCTTTTCAGCTGGGATTGCTGCAGCATTAGGTTGAAAATTTTGAAATCTCATTGTGTCGATAACAGTGAACAGACTTTACCTGCAGGCTCTGTGAAGTGAACCTGAATTCAGGTGGACATACATTAGATATGAACTATAGCAGTAATAAAAGGGAAGCTCTAGACTTTTTATGGCCAGTTAGTAAAAGAGGAAAAAAAAAATCCAAAAAGCCCTGAAAAGGTGGCCCTTTCCCTTGTGGAGTCTACAAGCAAATTCCCCAGCTTAGGGACAGAACTTAGTAGAAGGAACTTTTACCAAAAAAAAGCTGTGCAGAAGCATTTCACAGACATTTCCTCATTTTTAATCTGAGTAATATGAAGCATGAGCCATGTCCTCTGGTTTTGGTTTGTTTTTTTAATTTTACTTGCTTTTCAAAGCTCAGTAAAATGGAATATGTATGTCTGAGTATGCCTTATGCCAAATTGGCATGAAGTGCTCATAAATTACACATTTGCAGATGACAGCTCTTGCAGGTAAAGTGGTTCATCCAGTTACAGTGCCAAAGCAAGACGTGAGCAGCAACTGGATTTTCTGATTTCTGAGTCATACTATTGCTCTTGTATATAAAAGGAAACTTTATTTGTGCCAAGAATGTAGTAAGAGATGAAACTTTCTTACTGTCATAATTACCAGGAAGATATGCATTTTACTGGTGGTAGTACATGCAGCATGGCACAAGCACACCCACATCATCTTTAAGGTCTGGTATCTCAGCTGCAGAGTAGCTGGAGCAAACTGCTAATAAAATTCTGGTTAGTGTTTTCAGAATTTTTTTTACTGCCTTAGCCATAAAGCAAAATACATATGAATTTCCAGACTTTTAAGATGCAATTTTTAGTTTTTGTGACAGAAAGTAACAGATATGAGTTTTCAGCGACATTAAGGTTTTTGTGGTCCACACCTGCCACCAAGTAGTATCCCCTGTGCCTTTATTTTGATATTTTGTGACTTCAGTTGAGGCAGACACAACCTGAGGGGGAGGATGAGATTAGGTGCAGCTCCTCTCGCTTCCTGCATGAACATTGGCACTTCCCAACTCCCCAGCACTGTGTGATGGCTTCTCCTCTCAGTGTATTAGTTGTGAATGTTAGAAGCAAGGAGCCAGAGGGATGCTGTATTGTTCTGCAGTCTAGCAGAGGTATGCACTGTTTGGCCATTGAAATACATTATGTGTCAGCTTGCAGAATGACATCAGACCAGGACTATCTGTTAGTCCTAGACTAATTTTTCTGTTGTTCTACCAGTGCATCTCAAGGACTGCTGAGTCCTTGAGCTGAGACTAAGAAAGCAACTTGTTTTATGGACAAGCCTTAAACGTTTTTTTCTCCTGGGTTGCTGTCTCTCTTTTGGTTACCATAATAGGACTGTCTTCCCTTCTATTGTAGTATCTCTGGGAAAATCTAAAATGACTGATTGTAGATGGGTATTTTAATTTCAAGTGAAGTTGGTGCTTCAGGTACCTTACTCAAGCTAGGCCTGTCTCACCTCTTGTACACTGAAATGTAATTTTGGTGTATACATAGAGAAATTGTTAAGACCTTGTTAATTTTACTACAGTATAGAAAAAATCTTTTTGGAAGAAATAAGGAGATACTCAAGGACTGTTAGAAAATGTTTTTGACAACTGTGATGTATTTGTGCCACAGTTCCTTTTGGATAAGATGATTTGCTTGAAGATTATTGCACAGATTCTTCTTAGAAAGACATTATGCTCCTATGATATCCTCAGAGCAGACATGAGTTAAATGTCACAAAAAATGCAGAAAATTAAGAATTTTGAGTAGCTTAAGTATGAAAGTATCTTGAATTTTTAATGCAAACTCACATTTAGCATTGTTACTGTGGCCTTGGTTTTGGGGTTTTTCTTGCCTCCTTGCCAAATTTTTTTGAATGTCTGATACTTCTTTTCTTATGACTCAAATATAAGTGAGTATGTCACTCTTCCAAATTTATAGATTTTATATATTTTGGTCTGACTTTCCCTTTTGATATAATAAAAGTTCATCTAAACTGAAAATTGAGTCTTTTTTTTACTGAAGCCACCACATATTTGTAAATGTTCCCCGCCTTTCTTTTTGCACCATGTAATTCTTGCCTGTCAAAGATTAGATTTGTTACTTCAGGTCATTCTTTAAAGCTTGTTTTTTTCCTTTATTTTTTCTTTCCCTCTTTTAGAGGGGAAAATGACTGACAACAGTTGCTTCTGGTTAGTTTGTTAAGAGAATCTCACATCTTGAACAGTAGGGTTGATGTGTGAGGCTTATTATGTACTCATAGCTTCCAGCGAATGAATTTTAAATAAGATAATTTTGATTCTGAAGTCATGTAGAAATTTTAAGGTGAGTCCTTAGATAGGAAATGAGGGCAAAAATCTTCACACTGCCCACAGAAATAATAATGTGGATACTGGCCAAAGAAGCAAAAACTGGGAGTCTTGGAATTCTTTTTGGTAGCTTAGAAAAGATTGTACCTAGTAGTTTAATATCACAAAAGGTTTCTTTGCTACAAGTTTTTATGAACTCAAGGAAGGAAGGAAACTGTGCTGTTAGAGACTTTAGATCCAGAAAGGGCTGTTTTTCTGTGCAGACTGTTTTCCTTTTCAAAGATTCCTCTTGTATGTCTTCCTGTCCTCTTTGCCCTGCTGCCAGGTTTCCCAAAACTGCCAAGACACAACCACCATGAGTTATAAATGGGAACTTACCATCAGGAAACTTGACGTTTATCTTTGCTAAGAGGGTGTATGTGCCACCACTTCTGCAATGATGTTGCTGTTAGAACTGCTCTGAGTTGTGGGACTTGGTTATTTGGATTCAAGCTGAAATAGTGATTTCAGGAGACTTCACTTTTCGAATATGGATGAAAAACTGACATAATACAATGAGATTTAGCAGTTTGAGATTGTTTTTTGTGACTGTAGACTTAAGGTACGGGCTTCCAGTTCAGTTACAGGGTATTCCACATGTGTACCTGCCCTAGTGCTGTAAAAATGTCACAGCACTTAGCTGCCTGTTTGCTGTTCTCATGAAGCCATGGTCACACTTAGGAGAGGAGAATTTGGATGTAGATTCAGCAGGATTGAATTAGGTGACCAGATTTATGATTTGTTTTTTAGTAATGTGGCCTAGTAAGCAGCCTAAAAGCTGGGGGATCCAGTGAAAAAGAGCAGGTATAGAAATGTAAGCAGATAAAGAAAATGAATGAACACCTAGAAGTGGAAAAGGGGAAATAAAAAGTAGTTTGTATATATAATGGTACTGTTTCTCATAGAAAAAAGGTTACTTTAGGTAGAGAATGTAATCTGATACTTGAGCAGTTTCTTTCAAGGAATTTATTCCTTGAACCCATTGTTTTTTGTGTCTAAATGGTTTTAACTACATATTTAATGTATAATGGTGAATATTTATTCTTAGAGGGAACAGATGGATAAAGGGTTCAGTGTTACATTTTGAGATGCGTTATTTGTGGCACTGATGGCTTTTCAGTTATTCAAAGCAACCTGTGTCTGTATTTCTTCATAGTTCCTGGAATCCTCTTGCTAATGAAAATTAACAGAGTTTCTTTGATCGTTTTAGAGGTGTGTTTGATGCTTCCCTCAAAATGGCTGGGTTCTATGGACTCTACACTTGGCTGACTCACACTATATTTGGGATTAACATAGTCTTCATACCATCTGGTAAGAATTTGAGCAATTATATTTATAAATAATATTACATATTTCTATTAATTATTTCTAGTACAAAGTCAGAAATATTGACTGTTGCTGACAAGCTTAGGTCTGGTCTTGGAGAATATGACTGTGAGAAGGGTGGAGAGAAGACCCTGATTGCTTCCTTCTGAGCCTTGCCTTTTTCTGTTATCACAACACATTCCCTGACAGCTATTTTACCTCTTTCTGTTTCATTTGCTGAATCCAATTCCTTTTCCCTTGTATTCAGTCCAAGTGTTTTCAGGTTTTAACTTTATTCTACCTGTCTTGGCTTCTGTTTCTTTCACAGTTGACAGGTGCTGATTTTTCAAGATGCCTAAATGCAGGAAGATGTGGTATCATGGAAATGCATGATAGAGGAATGCTTCTTATTCTCCATATCATCTGACTATATTACCAGCCTCTGTTTTTTGTTGGGTTTTGTTGTTGTTGTTGTTGTTTTTTATTTAATCTTAGTTTTGGAAATGGCTGGACAGTTTCTCAGAGAAAAATCTTCTCCCCTGTTCTATTTTGCCCTTTTTTCTCTAAAAAGAATGATAGTAATAGCAATGGCAAAAATGTTTGTGTACAAGGAAGCATAAGGGGAAGCTATAAAGCAACAAACCCAAAATAATGGGAAATGGCTGTGTTGTTAAGTGCAACTACCTTAAGGGCTTTGATTGTCACTACACCTACTTAGAAAGTAATCAGTCTTATTTTTTCAACTGCATGCAAAATCTTAAAAGTTTTTGCTTTCTGGTTAATGAGACCAAAAAAAAAAAGAAAAATGCCCCAGTTGATTGTGCTTTATGTTTATTCCTGGTGCATTAAATTATAGTGGCAGCAGAACTGTGTTGCTTTATATTACAACAGATCTTTGTTACAAGCAGAAGGGTGTTTACCTGTGTGAGACTTGGGTTCATTTGCTTTCTTACACAGTAAGAAACATACAGGATTGGTATAACTTCAAGTTTTTATAGACTAATGCCTCTTAACTCCTTGTGACTGTTGGTTGCTGAAGCTCTTCTGTATGGGGAATGGTGTAATTTTCTTTTTTCCTAAACCACAGCTACAAAACACCAAGAGCCTCATTGGGCACTTCTTCAGTGTTTTATTTATAACAGTTGATGGAAGTGGGACTTACTGGTGTGGCAAAAGTGTCAGAATGTAATATATTGTGAAATATGTTTCTGTGATTTTTTTTCACTTCTTCTTCTGTGTGCTCTCTAGCACTAGCAGCAATCCTTGGAGCAGTGCCATTTCTGGGGACATACTGGGCAGCAGTCCCTGCAGTCCTAGATTTGTGGCTTGTGCAAGGACAGGGATGCAAAGCCCTTTTGCTCCTGGTTTTTCACCTCTTGCCAACCTATTTTGTAGATACAGCAATTTATTCAGATATATCAGGGTAAGTACATTGAGCAGTTTTTTTTAATTAACATTGTAAAAATGATTGACAATCACTGATGCCTTTAATTAAACTCATTTTTCTGAAGCATGCAAAACAGTATCTTCAAGCAGAGGAATAACCTCATAGTAAGCAGTTTTACTGGCCTAAGTGCCTTCATTTTCCCAGTTTCTTTTCTGTGGACTTTGACACGTCAGAGGTCTTGAACTCAACATCAGCAAAATGAACTGTTTCATCTAACTGATTGTTAGAATTAGTTCATGTTTTCTATTTATCTAATTATTGAGTAAAGGTGTGTAGCATTTCCTTTTTATCTCCTAAAGCCAGATGATGCTGTGGAGCAGATAAAACCGTGAGCTATTTAGGGACCAAAAAAATAGAGTTAATGTAGAATAAGGACATAAAGTGGTTCAGTTCTGTGTTTTTAGAAATTAGTATTTTTGTTTACTAAATATAATTATACTGAACAGACAGTACCTAATGATAATATGCCCAATATTAATACTAATTTTCATAGACTATGGCTCTAGTTATTTTGAATTAATTAAGGCTAACAAGTCAAGTATAATCAAATTACATTTTTTTCCAACAATAAATCATGGATAAATTTAAGGCTAGTAGCTATTTAAATAGCCAATAGTTCTTCTGCTTCCTAGAATACATTCTTTTGAACTGTAGAGGATGCAAACTCAGTTTACTGTCCCGAAAATATATGGGAGAGGAATAGATTTTCTGACAGTGGAGGAAAATTGTATTCTTCCCAATCAATGGAACAGTAAGCATCATGATGTCTTGTGGATTAGATTAAACCTATTTGAAGTAGCTATTATTAGGTTATGCAGGGTTTTCTAAATGGATTACATTTGTACTGTAGTCCTATTTCATCGGGTGATCTGTTGTTTAATTTAGAAAACTAGGCAAAAGAATGTTTAAACTGATGAAAATTCTGGGAAAAGAATGAAGTTTTTAAAGGTTTAGAAATCAGTAATGTCCATTGTTGGAGAAACATAAAACTTTAGGCCACGTTTATCCCCTCAGGAAAGCAATCCTGCCAGTAGGGTAAGTTTGATCTGGGTGAGACGTGATTGAGGTGTGTATGATTTAACAGAGCATGTTTCATGGCCTTGTTTTGCGCACATTTGTGTTGAAGGCAAAGGCTTAAAATTTGGGAGTTGAGTAGAAATCAGGACCATGGTAGAAACCTCGGGAACTGCTGGAGCTCTGAACTGCCTAGCTGATATTTTTGATGTATTACACTCAGAATTTAGAGGAACTTCCTGAGAATTGTGTGTCAGGTTTCAACTGTAGTTTTTCTTCCACAATTCCATATTGCTGTCATTATTTTAGGTATAAAGAATGACGAGCAGGTTTTGTGTAAATGCTGTTGGTAGGATTCACATGTTGCAGCTGAACACAAGTGCAAATAAAAATGGCATGGTTTACTTGCTGCCATAAGAGCTCTTATCAAAAAACTCCTCTGGCCCCAACCTTGCAGTAAATATTACTATGTTCCTTAAAATCCAGTTTTATTTTTCATTTGAAAATGTAAAAATTATAATAAACACTCAACCTGAGAGGCTTTTTTATAACAAAATGAGAAGACATGGATATTTCTTTAAAGACTGTATGTTAATTGTTCTTTGAAAGATGCACTGCAAGTTGCTATCATCATGTAACTGAATGGCTTTGCTCAGGGGTCCACATAGTACATGTTGCTAATTGTGTTAAATTTCAACAGTTCTTGACCATAAAGCATGAACAGTCTGTGTAACCAACCATCTTTCCATTCTCAAAATGGAAGTGTGTTTCCTATTAAGTCCTTCAGATATTCTTCAGCAGATGTCTGTAAAGTAACTACTCCACTGTGGATCTTAGCTGCATTCCATGCTACAATAGTGTTTGATCTGTTGTGTGAATATAGCACAGAATACAGCTTGGAACCTTCGTGTAGCAGTTTATAGTGTAAATATGGGCAGGTATAGCTAGCAGTGTCATTTCCTAAGCTTAATAAAACTTCAGTATTAATTCACATTTCGTAATTGATAATGCTGTGTTTGTTGTTCTTAATTTAATTTTATTCTTGTGACAGAGGTGGTCACCCTTACCTGACAGGCCTTGCAGTAGCTGGTGGAGCATATTACCTGGGACTGGAAGGGGCCATCATAGGACCAATTCTACTTTGTATACTTGTGGTTGCTTCCAATATATATAGTGCCATGTTGGTGAGTCCAACAAATTCTGTGCCCACTCCATCACAACCAACGTGGCCATTACAGATTTACCGGTGAGCTGTAAATATCTTACTTGTATGAATTATGTTTTCACACACATCAGTGTATGTATGCACAGGTGTAGGGAATGTGTGCCTGGGTTTTATATCAGTGTGCACTCACATCTGCATGAGTACTGTAGTATTTGAAGAGGATTCAGCTGTCCCATACTCTAGAAATAAAAAGTATGGCTAAATAAAACACTCACTGGTACATGTATACTGGAAGTCTTTAATGTCTCTCAGCCACTCACAGAAGGCTCCTTTAGAAAATTTGCTGATAATACCTTTGTGTCCTATAATTTATATGTTGCTGTTGTGCCGTGCTAGGAGATGATTGAACATGATTTGTGAACACTTAATCATGGATACCTAAGAGTTCATTGCCCTTAAAAAGAGGCTTGCCCCAAAAGACTTCATTTTTATGTCCTAATTTACAATACTGCAAAATATAAACATACCTAGACTTTGAAAAATGTGATACCATTATATGCCATTTTTCCATTAAATTATGGTCCTTAGTAATGTCATTAAGTTATGAAATTATGGAATACAGAAATGTGTCTTTAAACTGTGCAGTTAGAAATGAGATAATAATTACAATACAGTTAGGAATAAACTCATAATTTAATAACTACTTAGAATTGTAAATCCCATTATGACAATATTAACAATAGTAGTTATTTTAATGTTTCTACTGTCTTGTTAAACTATGTAGGTTAGCTCATTATACATATATCTTGAAGAGGATTCTCTGCTTGTCAAAAATAATTCTTTGCCTTATTCATATGAATAGTGCTGTCTTCTTTCATCTGGGTAATTTAGGACAAAAAACTGCTAATTCGACCTGTCTGTAGTCTCTGGCTTGTAAAAGTTACATTCCAGTTACCCTGTATGACACAGACAGAGCTTCCAAGTACACAAAAAATCTTCATGTGTGTTTGGTTCTCCTTTATTTTATAGGAAACAATTGTTTGGAATCACTGTGCAGATTTGTGTCTTACTTCTCACTTTTCCTCCCCTCACCTCCCAGGTCACCTAGAGAGAGTCCTGAGGAGATGAAAATGTCTGCAGAGTGATGGAGATGCTGGGCTGCACCTCTGCGACTTGAGGGAATCTCTGTCTTCTGTCTTGGGTTCACAACAGCCATGGCCTTCTGTCCGTTCCCAGCTGTGCCTGGGGCAGTTCACAGGGGAGCATAGATTGGGTTTTAGGCGAAAGCACTAGAACATCTGCTGGCCTTACATTATTTTGTATGCAAAATACACTTTGCCTCTTTGAGAGAGAATGTCTACTTCCCATGGCTTTGCATACCATCACACAGTAAGCTGCCTTGTTGAAGACTTTGAAGACCTGTCTTATCAAAAGAATAGTTAAGAGGACAGGTACATCCACTGGAGTAATTACCTTATCTGCTGAAATTACTAACTTGGCTTTTATTTATTGGGTTATTTGTCTTATTAAACTGTAGTAGCTTTAAAGAAAGCTGTAATTCCAAAATATTTATTTTTTAGATAATTTGGTGGCAAAAGAAGGGCAAACCACTCATTGTGAAATGAAAGTACAATGTAATAGTTTGTTCCTCCTCAAGGTGTTTCTTTTATAACTGCAAGCGTCATCTGTAACTCATAATAACACTTAAATGTTCTCTTACACGCACTGAAATTTAATGTTGTTGGAGACTGATATTTTTGATACCTTCCTGATATTAATAGAAATGCAAACTCTTAAATGTGGGTTTTTCTCTTACTGACATAGGAGGGCTTGTTTAAGTAGTTTAAATCTTGCCTCCCTTTTGCACCAAAACCTGATAGTATTTTGCTGTTTATCCACCCTCCCAGTGGAGTCATCTTGTCAACTAAATTTAATCAAAGGCCTTAAGTGTTTTCAGACAGTAGTAATGTAGGCTGATGGCATCTCCTTCCAGTAATTGGAAGAGGTTTAATGGGGGTTGTTTAATGTTGGTTTCCAGATGCTGTGGCTGAGTTCAATTCACTTTTTCAACAAATTTTACTACCTGGAAGAAAGGGGAGAGAGCATGGATTTTGGTTTAGTTTAGTTGGAGTTTTTTAACCTTGTAAGCATCTAGCCAAATGTCTTACTGATATATAGGATATATCTTAATATATTAAAGTATGTCTTATTAATAAACAAAGATCCTAAATTTCTGAAATTATGTATTGCCTAGGTCACAGCAGCAGATCCTCTAGTGTTTTTCTTCCATATGTAATTTTTCTTAAAATGCAGCTTTGGTGACTGACATTTAAGGCCTTTTGTATTGATTGTCAAAACATTTTGACACAATGGATCTTTATAAATGGATCCTTTTGTAAAAGGGAAGTGGGTTTTTTGGTAAATATTTCATACTTGCACAGCTTTTCCACAAATCCAGTGAGGCCCTAGGTACAAAGTAGCAGATGAACTTGCTTAACCAAAGAACCACCATTCAGTTTCCGGTAACTCGAATTGATTTCAGAGTTTGATTGATAATGAGTTGTACAAAATACAGGCATGTCTTCTATTTCTTGTTGACATTAATTCGATGCTTGAAACAAAGGGATCTTGTCCAGGGATAAGGATATCTAAGATGAGTGCACAAACAGCTTGCAATAACTGAGATGTATATTTTACTCAACTTCTCGGAGTGCTGAGAGATTTGGAAGGTTCTTTCCATGATATTGTATGTATTTTTACATTGTTTTGAAAAATACATTGCCATGTAAAGTGATTGGAAAGTACTCTGATAACTGAGTAAAGAAGAAAGTCCTGCTATAGGTTCATAATAAACAGATTGCCTTACAAGACACAGATTCTCGAAATAAGCTATTGCAGTCTCACTGATGAAATTGTCTGTTTTAAGTGAGAGGGGTTGAGTATGACTGTTTGTGCACACTTGCAGGTATGTGCTTGAGAGACAGACTTGGGCTTAATTTAGTAGGTTGACTCAGGTTTATCAAAATACGGAAACATCCCACTTAATATTTTAAATTCTGAAAGATCTACACATCACATTAACTAACTGAGTAAGAAGAATGTGTTGCTTGAATCAAATATCTGTCTTACCTCCTTGGTTTTGTGGCTTATGAGAAAGTTTAAATGAAATAACATTTTTATAATTGTTGCTGGCTAGGGTGGAGGATGTGGGAAAATCTGAGGCTTTCCTAAGATACTCCTGCAACTTTCTAACCAGTGGGAATGAGACCACCATGATATTTAGGCAACTTCTTTCTTGTATTACTTTTTTTTTTTTAGTTCACAGTTTTGCACTGAATTGTTATGTTCTTGTTGTAGCTTCTTGTTGCAGCATTTAAAGCACCTCTTTGCTCACTGGTCAAGACACGTCAAGACACCTTTGCTATCCCATTTTCTGAGACAATCTTTCACAGTCCTGTGGTACTCTACTTAGTAATTTTAAAGACACATTAAAAAACATTATTTTATTTGGTTTTAAGTTTTCTTCTTCCCCTTCAACTAGTTGTCTTAGCTCAATGAAACGTGATTGAGGAACCAACTGTATGGTTCAGTAATGGTGCAGTAACATATACTGCTAAAAAAAAAAGAAAATGAAGGAACAAAACTTCCAATAACACCTTCACAGAATAGGAAATATTCACTGTTTTTCACCATGTTTGGAAAAAAGGCACAAAAAACCCCCAAACCACGAAATACCACCTTATAAAAAGGTGTACATTGATTATTTACATTTTGTGTTTAGCAAGTGTCTAGTTGCCAGCAGAAATAAAAGACCTTGTTGTTGGGTATTTAGCAATCTATATAATTTTTTGAGCCTTTCTATGAGATCTCAGAAACTAAACAGTTTAGTTTAGATCAGTCTCACATTAATGTGAAAATAATCAAACTGGTCATTTTGACTTCTGGTCTTTGAAAAATGCCAGTTCATGGTTATATTGCCTCATCTGCAATAAAAACCAAACCCAGCAGTTCGGTGGGATAAGTTTTTAGTACATGGATTGTGGCTTTCAAAAAAACCAATTCAACCCACTCCCCCTCCAAGATCCTACAACAATGACCACCAACCAACCAACAAAAAAAGCCACACCACTCTCTGCAGTGCAGTTTTCTTAGGAGAGACCATCATTTCTGTAATGCTTGTAGGCAAGAAGTTGATGGCCTTTACCTTTACTGTAAACAGTCTTTCCAGGAGCAGGTACTTACTAAGTGTATTTAGTACATTTAGTGTTCAATAATTTAGAGTTCAGAAGGGAATGCTTCATAGTAATGCAAGACAATGTGATCTTATGGTATTGTGAAATTCAACTGTGCTGTTTTTTTTCTTTCTCCTTGGGGAAATCAGGCTTGTTGCAATTAAGTGTAGTGCCTAAAGGGCTGGTGCTGTTTCTGGCACTCACATCTGAGTTAGGCCTTTCCTTCCTATACCTTGACTGAACACTGCTGTAGCAGAGCTGGCAGAGGTGACTGTGTTCCAGTTCACAGCCCAGCATGTTAGCTTCAGGTCACTGTAAATACTGGCTTAATTGGATCCACGAAGGAACAAACTGCAATGGGCAAGAATCTGGCACTCATTCATTCTGCCACTCTTACTGCAATATGGTGGCTTTCAGCACAGGTGCACTGTGACCAGTTGGGAGCAGAAATTATTTATTTTGAAAGGCTGCTTTAAAAACCCCAGTTTAACATCATAATAATACATATGGTGCACACTTTTCAGGAGTTAAGTTGATACCTATGTGATCTTCCATGAACAGTGCTGTGTGTGTGTGCAGGTTATCTATGGTACACTTAGGCTTGTCTGATTTCAAGGTCTGGGTGGCTTCTCTTAACGACACAGGGAAGGAGGATATACTGGATGTGTATTTTGTCAGTGATTATTGGAATAGGAAATCCATAATCTGTTTAATTAAAATAAGAAAAAATTATTGTTCAGGGAAAGTTGGATGCTGTCTCCAGTATTATCCATTGTGGGTATAAGCATAACTTTTAAAACAGGTATATTGCTGCAATGTTAAATGTTTTTCAGAAAGCCTGAAAAAACAAAACTGGATGAAATTGCTCTCCAGTAAAAGCAGCAGCTGATCCCTAGTACTAGGAATACTTCAGAGTGTTGCCTTTCCTATGGGCCTGCTACACTAAGGATGCAAAATACCATTATTCTACTGAGATTCCATAGCTTTGCACCGTTGGTAGTGGGTGTTTCCACAGCTGCCTTTATTCAAATATTGTGTTTATATTATATTGACTTAAATTTGTCACTGTAGATAGTGGCATTTTAATGGGTGCTACCTCTGGAAATGGCTACAATTTCCTTTGAAGAAACTGAATGATGTTGGGATTGGAGGTAGCATTCATTAGGTTTAATAGCAGAGGCAGCATTCTTCTAGAGATGCAGTTGCTTACCTTGAAGTTTGCAATTTTCCAAGAGAAAATTGATTTGCCAGATAATCTTTATTGAGTGCCAGCTGACATCTCTTAAATCCGTGGATATATCATCTTTATAAACTCTGTACTGACTTGTATTTCAAAGGGTTTCTTCTTAGTATAATTTCCTACACTTCTTGCTGAAGCCAACTTTGGCAATGTCCATATTATTCCTATTTGTACAAAACTAGAATCATATAAAACTCTTAACAAACGTTAGAGAGACTTGATCTTTAACGTGGTACTGTCTATCTGTCAGTTTTACTAAGGTATCTTAATGCTTTATGGTAAAATCTTCTAAAATTGCTTTAAAGTGATAAAATTGGAAATACGAGAAAAAACACTGTGGAAAATTTATTTGGTGTTTTAAAATGAGAAACAATGCCAGAAGTCATAAACATATTCATGGATTCTACATTTGGTTTGTAAATGTATGTATCAATATATAGAGTTATATAAATATTGGGAGTCTCTGTCCTATTCAGGCTTTACCTGAAATTTTGTCCTATCTCTTTTTTTTTTTTTTTTTTTTTTTTTTGAGATACCTGAGAACAAACAGTGCCTGTATATAATGAAAACAAGCAACATTTTCTACAATTCATGTTTACCTTATACAGATAAAGGAAGAGCTAAGCAAATCCTGGTAGTGTGACTACCACTGTTTTATTGTAGTTCATATAAAGTAGGAAAAAGCTGCTAGTAATGCACTGCTGAGAGATTGCTGTTCCTGGAAGTATTTGCACACATCCTCTAAAAAGCTGCCAAAATTAATAGGTCATGAAATACATCTTCAGTTCCCCAGATTCTTAAACTCATCACTCGTCCTCTTGTTTGGAATATTGTTCAGTACATGAGAGTATTGCTTCCATCCCCTTTTGGGAATTGATTCCAGGACCTGAAGGCATATGTTGAATGTCCATACTGAAATATTATGTCAAATTCAGGAAGGAAGTGATAATTGGAAGTAAATGCATCCTTGATCTGCTCTGCATATGTATGGACGTGAACAAATATAATTCATGTTGCATTGAATTGAAGAATTGTTTTTTAAATATAAATACTATGGTGACACTAATGCCAGATTTGAGTAAGAAGCAGGGCAGATTTGCTTGCAGCAGGGTGAATAAAGCAGAGTGAATGTTCTAGCATCTATATGTATATATATAAAGAATTTTTGAGTGATGTTTTTACAGCAAAAAGTTAATTCTTCTCCTAGCCTCACTCTTTACCCACTAGACTGTCATGTACAGTGATACAATGAGGACCTAGAGTCAGAGAATGTTTCATGGTATTCGTGTAGATTAAATGCAAGAAACATCACAAAGCCAAAAAGGAGCCACGCTACAAAAGTTCATTAGGCTTAAGAACTGGCATCTAGGCCATAAGGTTTGAAAAAAAAAATCCCAGTATTTACTACTCTTCCTGCCAGACTCAGCCTAAACCTGAATCTTTCTCAAATATCAATAAAAGCTGCTTTTGTGTTGTTCATAACTTACTGTCTGTGTAGATCAGTGTTTTCAGCTTGTTATCTGTCATCTTGAATGTATTCGGCAAGCATTCAATTTGTTCAGATTGTTGCCTTTAAAAACAGATTTCCTGTGCTTCAGTGATGGTTGATGCTAGCTACCATTTGGTGTTTTGGTCAAAGGTTATGGAGATATAGGAGGGTTGGGGTTTTTTTCCCCTCGGGGAAATTTCACCAAACTAAATCCAAAGATGCTTTTGACATTCTATCCTAAGACTGGTGACACCTACTCAAACCTAACAGCAGATGTTTTGCATTACAGAGCACAGGTTGTTCTAAAGTTTGTGTTCCTACCAGGCCCTGTGGGGATTTGGAGCAATAACTTCTATTATCTGTTGACACAAATTTTGTCTATACGTGTGATGCATCTTCAGAACGGAACTGTGTTCAAAACTGATGTTACCATAATTGGGTTTGGTACAGTACCTGGTTTTGCATGTATAATACTGACAATATAACCCCTATGTCCATCTGTGGCCCAATAAAATGTGTAAGTTAAGGTTGAGAACTACTTGTGTAGACTGCAGAGGTATTTAAACTAAATAATTTTGATTGTATGCACCAGTCCTTATCCTAATAAAAATGGGTTTTGTAGCAGGTTTAAGAAGCTTTTAACTTGATATTGTATTCACACTGCAGTCCTTTGTAAGCACAGAATGGTTAATATATTTTGAAATAAAATGCCATTAACATAAAAAGAACTGAGTTTGATTTGAATGATGGGCTCTTCGGAATCAGCCACAAAAGCAGCAGTTAATCTGCTGAAATAACTGGTGTGCTGGAGGCAAAGCTGGATCTGCAGTCCCTGTGTGTAACTGATGTCACTGGGAGAAGCCATACTTCACTTTTCCTTATATTTTCTGTGAGAAGGGGAAGGCCATGGCCATGGGTAACCGTGACTCAGCTGGCACGTGGCAATTTGCTGCAGTGCCCGCAGTACAACCAAAGTCCAGACCCTACAAAAGCTCCCATTTGGCACCTGTGGGTAGTTCAAATGACTTCCATTATGGCCTGCTCTGTGAACTGGAAATGGTTGTTTAGTGCCTAAGCAGAGTTTTAGATCATTCTATTGACTATAAAGCAAAAGTGATCAAATCCTCCCTGCATGACTGCTCACCTTTTGAAATGAGATATGGCTGATGTTCCAGTTTCCATCCCTCTCACTGGGAGCAGTCGCCTTGAAGCATTTCCTACAGGAGAGTCAGTTTTAGGTGGTACCTCCTTAGTTCTCTGAAGGGGTCAAACTTATTTAGTGCATATACACCCCGTATATATTGGGGGGGGGGGTTACCAATTGATGCTAGTAACATAATTATGATTTAATTTTCTTTAAATTGAAGCAAGTTTTCCAAAATGCTTAGTATTCCTTTTAAGTTTGAACCAAACCAAATGCATCTGTATTCAGGCAAGTCAAAGCACATCTACTTCTGTGAGAACTCCTTAGCTCTTGTATGGGTTTTTTAGTGATTTTATTGTGCACATAGTAGTGTTTTTATTAAAGAAAATAAGGAGTTCTGTTCAACACCCAT